CTAAAATGTACCAATAAAATTAAGTAAAAAAATATAATCACATTTACTCACTTTCATAAGATAATGATTTTCTGTAAAAATTTTTTTTGAATAAAAAAGGAAATATATTTTGTTCAATTGCTTGAACCTTTTCAGTGATTTTCTACTGACCTTGAAATGAAATCCAGACTCTACTATGACCTCGGTGACTCGGTCCTTGCCTACCTCTCCAGTCTTGTACGTTACTACTCTTCCCCTGCCCAGGTAAGTCTCTCTCTGGACCCAAGCCTTTTTGCAATCCAAGTTTCCTGTGCCTTGCCCGCTTTTGCCACAGGTTCTTTGCATTTAGTTACCATTAATCTGTGGAAGACTCAACAGCTTCCCCTTTTTCCTCATCAATAGAATGGTGATTTTAGTTGGGAGAGCAACCTTTATTTAAAATATTTTCTCTCCCCATCTCCCTGTTGTTTGGAGTGATACAGTTGATGGGATATAAGTAGAAATTACTGGGTGTGGCCTCCTGGGAAATTTTTTTTTTACACAAGGTCTTGCTATGTTTCCCAGGCTGGCCTCATATTCCTGGGTGCAGCCTCTTGAATACTTGGGTCACCAGGTGCATACCATCATGCTGGACCAGTAGAAAGCTTTTTAAAAGAGCAAAACTGAGCTGGATGTTGTGCCACATGTCTTTAATCCTGCCACTCAGGAGGCTGAGGCAGGAGGATTGTTGCAAGTTCAAGGCCAGCCTGGACTACATAGTGAGATCCAACTGTCATCTTTTTTTTTGGTACCAGGGATCTAACTCAGGACCTTGGGCTTGTGAGGCAGGCACGGTGCCACTGAGCTAAATCCCCAGCCCCTCAATTGTCATCTTTTATTTCCCCTTTATCTTGCTGCATTTTCTGACCATGAGAATGGTTGTGAAGCTAAGGCCAAGGTTATCAAAGTGTGCTCCCCACTTTATCAGCCTCAACATCACCTGGAAACTTACAAATGCAAATTATCAGGTTCTACTCTAGACCCACTAAATCAGAAAGTTTGGGAGTGTGGCCCAGTAATCTATTTCCACAGGCCCCTCAGGTGCTTCTTATACTTGTTGAAGTTTGAAAGCCACTGAGTTAAACCATAAAAACTTCTTTAGTGAAAGCCAAAATGTTGGATAAAGACAAGTATACCTAAGACAGTGAGAAGCCACTGCACCAGACTTGGACTGCTTCCTCTGGCTTTGCAGTTATGTGAAAAAGTAATCCCTGCTTAGTTTAGCTACTGTTATTAGGTTTCTGTTACATGCAATTGAATACAATTCTAATTGAGAAATAATTTTTAAAATCTCAGCTTAAACATTATCTCTGTAGAGAGGCCTCTTAACTATTCTGCTTACACCCTCGACCTCCAATAATGTTTTCAATCATCTCTTCTTATTTCTATCCTTTAGAGCACTCTTCATCCCCTGACATTTTTTTACTTACTTATTGGTTATATTTGATAGTGTATACACTGTGAGAATGTAAACTTTGTAAGAGCGTAAACTTCACACTGGTAGGATCTTTCTCTTTTCACTGCTGTACTCTAGCACATACTAAAGTGTCTGGCACATAATGGATACTCTGTAATTATTTGTGGTATGATTTAAAAAACTTTAAAACTATTCCATTTAAAAGTATGTATTTTTAAAACATTTGAATGAAAAATGATTCATAATAGACAACTTCACAATTTTCAGAAGAAATTAATTTAAAAAGTAGCAGATACACCTGTAAAAAATGCATGTTATAAAAGTCCTCCATACTTGTCAGTGACTATTTTGCTACCTTACTCTTAAGTGGCCTACCAATTCTAAAGCCATACACAACTAATAAAAGGTCTAGGTAAACATTCATGTCCTACAGAAATGAATACATAAATTTAGCATTTCTATGGTAATGCCATCTTTTCACAGGCACCATTTTGCACCACCTCAAAGTGGGAGACTTGTTTAAAAATAAAACTTCATATAACACTTAAACACAAACTTTAAAATAAAAACAAAAATTCTAATCAGTTTTCTTATGCATGCCAGAAGACACACAATTAGGTTTGAACTTAAGGGAAAAAATTCCTTCATCCACGTTCCTATCTCACCTCTTCTGGTCATCTCAAATTAGGCCCAAGATTAACATCACTGGAAACAAACAAGGCCATCTCTAGCATCGGCCTATGTGGCAAATTTGAGGAAGGGACACAGATTGGAGGTTCCCTGTGGGTGAATTTGAAGGTCTCTGCTTTCTATTTGAGTGAAGCAAGAAGACGAAGTGGTCTTGCAATGGGACAGGGGAATTTTATCTTTACTCAGATAAAACTGTGCGGGTCAACTTTTGGAAATCTGTATTCCTTGGTTATATTTTTAAAATGATTAGTTGTTAAGTCATATTTAAGTAAATTGTGTAAATACTTTTCTCCATGGAGCACAGAAAAATGAAGTAGAATAAAAATATTCAGTATCGCTTCCTTTTTAGATCCCTATTCATTCTTTCTGGAGCAGCTACTAGAATCTACATGAGCCTCCCTGTGGCAACTACTGGGAAAAGAAGATAACAAAAAAATGCCAGAGGCCGAGTAGGGGCCACTCACAAGAAAAAAAGAGCCCTGGGATTTGTTAAGACAATTTTCTTACTTCTTCACAGAGTCAGAAAAAAAATTAAGAGTTTCCTGGGAGTCCCTTCCAAATATGAGGAGCTGTAAGGATTTCTTGTCAAAGTATCCTAAGAACAAACTTTTAAGAAGTCCCTAGAAGCTGACTTCTATAGATTTGCCTGGTTTTCTTTACCAGTGAAATAACCTTTTATCTTATGAAAGGCAATGACCTTAAGTTTCAATTTGAGTAACTTCTACATGCAATGGTATCAGAACCTGCATTAAATGTACCATCCTGACTTTAGTAATGACAGCATTCTGTATGGCTTCATTCTTTTTCTATTAACAGTCTATCACAATTGCCTGGGGAGTTTGCTGAAAATAATGCAGATTCTGGAGCTCCACTCTCAGAGATCTGATTCAATAGGTCTTAGGTGGCATCTGGAATCTTCATTTTCAACAGGACTCCAGATGATTCTTGTGAAGGTGGTGTCAGATCCACATTTGAGAAGCATTGACCTTAGGGGGAACAAGCCAGAATTGCTTCTTTTCCAGAGTAATACTTGCTGTAAAGAGTAATTCTCAAAAGATCTTCCTGGAAGAGGTCTCTGGTGAAGTGATCTACATTTATCCTCAAAGACTGGAGGGAAGGAGATAAAGGTTGGGGTTACTGCCCAACTCTGTAAGTGAATAAAAAATTGGGATTAGCACCTATCTGGATTTAAGGATAAGCAGCAAAATCTTGATAACAGGAAAGTGATGGCTTCTGGTTTAGGGGACCATGGTATGATCTCTTGCCTTTCCCTTCTTTTCAGTGATGTTGGGCTAAGGATACCAAAAAGACCCACACAGATAATATGTTGTTTGGGTATGGGTGAATATATACAGCTAAAGCAAATTCTGTCTCAGGAAATTCAGAAGAGTGAATTCCAGTTTGATACATGGCATCAATAACTGACTGAACATCAGTGTATGGCATCTGGATAGGAAATCCTGTGACCTGGATCAAGGTAAGAACAACACACAAACTCATTACAATCATAGATATAATTCAGAATTACTGTACCCCAAAAAGATCACAGAAGCCTCAAAGAAATAGTGGTCATAAAATAATAATTTGTTTTTATGCATGCTGATTATGTACTAGGTATAGTACTAAATGCTTTACACACATATTTAATTGCCAAACCAGCTTTTTGAAGTAAGTTCTATTGTAACTCCCACTTTACAGATACAAAAGAGTACAGCCAGATCTGTCTGATGCCAGAATCTGCTTATTTAACAGGCCACGAACTTGTACCCTTTCTAGATGGCAAACTACAAACAAGAAAGTTACTGGATCCTGCCTCCACATTTGAGTGTTTTAAGTGAGATTTTCTTCAACAATGTCTTGATTTATATTTACTAAGTGACTATGTGCTAGTATTAAAGGATTTTGGAGTATGGCCCTGTGTAAAATTATTTAATAATACACAGATGGCAGTCATAAATCTTATGTAACTCTTAGATTATTTATCTAAGGAGGATTTTCTTAATTCTCAAATCTATTCACATATCCTTTCCATGTGATGGAGTATGTACTGTCCTTCTTTCTCCCAGATTACTTCATAAAATATAATGATTTCCCTTCTCTCTCTCTCTCTCTCTCCTTTGTTACAGTACTGGAACGTGAATCCAGGGTCTTTGTTCTGAGCTGCATCCTCGTTTCTTTTTAATTTTGACATAGGATCTTAGTCACTAAATTGCCTAGTGTATGCTCAAACATGTAATCTTCCTGCTTTAGTCTCCCAGAGTGCTGGTATTACAGGTGTGTGCCACCATGCCCCTGTCATTTCTGCAGTCCCTGGCACAATGCCTGTCATATAGAATAGAAATAATAGTTACCATTTACTGAACAGGTACTAGCTACTGGGCACAGTGCTGAGTATTGCATTTAATCCTTTTCACAACCACAAACCACATAACTTTTTTATTTCTGTTAGCTAGTGAAATACAATGTATAGAGAGTTTAGGTAATTTGCTCTAGGTCAAAGCTAGTGAGTAGTTAAACCAGGATTTGAATACAGGTTTCTGGGTTAGTCCAGGTTTATTATTGCTGACTACATTATTAAATAGATAATTTTATGTAGGAATTCCAAGTTTTAAACCTTGTTCTACATTTAACTATGTTTTGCTTACTGGTTCACCTCCCCCCCCATTCTATTAAAAGTAAGGCAAAGAAAAACAAAACAAAATTTCCTCCTATTCATAAATAGTGCCTGCAGAGTGCTTCTTAGTAGCTAAATTAGTCACTCCCATCAAATCTCCTTACTTCCACCTTTCAGAGAAGGAGACATCTAGCTTATTGGATGGTAGAGGGAAGAATTCTCACTCTTAGAAGGCTGGAGTGTTCAAAAACCTACTGGAATGGTTCATAAGGAAAAGGAGGAAAAAGGATGCCTGATGTTGGGGTTAGGGTAGAAGGAATGGAAGTCTTAACAAAATACTAAATGTCCAATATATTTGCTATGGACTTGCTGCGTTTGAGATAGCTGTTCACTATCCAAGAAGATGTCAATGGGATAATGAATATAAATGGAAGGTTAGGAGAGAAGTCCAGGTTGAGTGTATAAATTTGGGAGTAATTTGAATATGGGAGATATTGAAGCTTGCCCAAAATCCTCTTGCTCAGAATCAATAATAGAAAATTCATTTTATTACTAGAGATCCTCTTTCAGTTTCTCAATTGCAGGATGATTTCCTTCGGGCATCTTTTTCCAAAGTTTGTAGTTTATCCACCATAAGACATAGCACTGGTTAAAAAAAGCCAGGCGGCTGGGGATTTAGCTCAGTGGTTTCGGCACCTGCTGCGCAAGCGCAAGGACCTGAGTTCGATTCCCGGTACCAAAAAAAGTCATGCAATATGATTCTGGTAATAACTACTCACTAGACTTGGTTTTTCCCTTTTTGTCTACAAGTAAATGGATTTTAATGCCTTAGTATCTATCTTCCAGGACCAAGATATAAAGGCATTTCAGAGATATTTAAGATTGCTATTTATCAATTAGCAATACAAAAAAGCAAATGTCACTAATGCATTAAATCTTATACAAACCCAGTAAAATTGTAGCAGTCTTTCAAATTCACTTTCTTCTTCAGATGAAACAAGACTTGCTGTGCCAAGTTCCAGTTTAGGAAGGATTTGTCGCAAAAGACAAGTACATTGTCGATTCCAACGTGTTGGGTGCTTAGGTCTCCATTCCATTATTTTACACTTTAGAGTTCTTTCAATCCTAAGATAAGAATGCAAAGATAATTTTGTGGCAAATTACAATTCATTTAGTAAATATGATGTGAGTTTTGTCACTTTTATTCAAATACTGTATGAGAATCATATTTTTGGTTTTAGGAAGAAATCAGCCTCTACAGTGATGGTTGTCTACCACCATTCACATTAAACTAAGAGATAAATCGACTTTTGGTTGGCTGGTGACAGCAAAAATCTTCACTGGGTATCCAGAAATTAGAGCTCCAAAGCACATCTCTTTACTGGTATATAAGCAGCTGCCACCTGGGTGTGATTTGACAACACCTACCATCTAATCACTGTGTCAACATTCCACTCTGTAAGAGCCTCCTATGACACAGGACATTGTATTCCCTGAAGAAATCATTTTTACAAAAACTCAGTTATTTGGCCTATGATGATGTTAGCAGGGATGGGATTATTAGATCAGTTAATTTATTAAGCAGAGTTGTCTAATGAGACAATGGACTGATAAGTTTGGTGATGGGCTTCCCCCTTCTAGAATGTAGCTCTTTCCATACAGGCAGGGATTTTTACTGGTCTTCTCAGGCCCTAGAATGGTCTGTAGGGAAAAATAAAGCCAAAGATGGCTATAGTTTGGTTCACACTGTTGGAGGTAGTGGTGATTTCTGGTGGACATTAAATCCAAGTCAGCAAGATTTTAGCACAGGTATACCTCATTTATTTCTGTAAAAAACTGATATAACCAACATTGGTTCTGGCTGATGTGACTAACTTATATAACCAAGGTTATTACTGGCATGTAGCCACTACTATGTAGACACTTATGCACAGTTAGACTAGCAGGTGGGCGGGGGCCTGAGGACCGCAATGTGAGTTGGCACCTGAGAATAAAGGCATGTTCAGACATTTCCACAACTCTGTGTCTCTTCCTCAGGCTCTCTGAATCTCAAGTGAACCTTCTCAGTCTGACCTGGTGACGAGATACAGTCTCTAGTAAGAAACCGTGCAGGGAATAGTGTGAACTCATTGATGGGACTGTCCTAGGAAGCCTCTCCTCTGTGTAGGATCATTGTGTGTGACAGAGTCTTTACCACAGTGTGTTACCAACAAAGCTGCTAGGAGTCTCCTCTTGGCTAGCTTTATATTGCAACTAAGCAGGCTAGAGTTTGCAGAGGGTCTCAGTCATGGCCATGCATCAGAATAAATCATCTGTGGTGTTTTATTAGACTATTTCACTTCCAAGTATTCAACAAGCCTGGTCTGGGCCCCTGAAACCTGTATTTTTAAATAATTCTAGAAGCAATGTTGATGAAAACTAGAAGTTGAGAACAATTTCCCTACTCATTACTTACTTTTAAAAAATTGGTTAAGAAATGGGAAGCAAGTGATGGGAATAACAGGTAGAGTGGGTTGTGTGCTAGTGAGGAAAGGAAGTGGCAAAATGATATTCTTCATATTGTTTTGATTAATTGCTAATGGCATACCTGCCAGCCTGATATGTGAGTTTGAGTCACTGAGGGAAATCAGATCCAGAAGTTTCTGATGCATTTGGAGCAGGGATGAGGCCTTTTTCAAAGTCTGTGACCCTTTGGGTTGAGTGAACAACTCCTCAAGGCACTAGTGTGTATGTCTTGGGGAAAGAAGAGAGGACCTACGAGTGACAATATAGCTATTTCTGTCACCCAAATGAGATGTTTTTACTATACCCTGGGTCACAGGCCATTTATCTTTCTGTCCTTTCAAGAAGTATGAGCTACTGCGTTATTACTATTACCATAGCTCAACAAACATCTGTGCTAAGAAATTTCCAGCAATGAGCTACAAGGTTTCCCTGAATTAACTTATACTCTTTCTTTCAAGGGGTGCCCTGGGTGAAAGAGGGGTCATTCTTCAATGTCTATACCAAGAAACAAGTACTGTAGTTCAGTGGAACTAACCAGTACAGTCTCCCTTTCCATGCTTCAGTTGCTTAATCTCACAGGTATTTTAAAAGGCTGGGTTAGAGGACTAAAAGGTGACTAACGAGATTAGCAGAACACAGTACCTGTTCTTTAGATCTTCTACCATATTTTTATTTGTATCAGAATAAATGATTTCTTCAGGCTGAAAGACATACAACTGAAAGTTAAGAAAGATTCTAGAGAAACCATCTTTATATTACAGTTACCCCTGGAGTTCTAGGAGTGGTGGGACCCAAACCAGTTTATTGGAATAAAAACACTGAATCCATTAAATAAAACATAGATCACTGCATTTCATTTGATTTCAAAATTACTTTAACAGAGTATGTGGACAGGGGACAGGCAGATTTAAAAAGAAGGTATTTTTCATAAGTAATACAGACCTGCTATTCCATTCATTTATCCAAACAAGCATTTGACTTGCTGATGATTCTAACAAATAATCTTTGGCAGCTGAACAAGTCTCTTCCAATTACTGTGTCTCTGGTGAAGTTACTTAAACTCTGTTCCGAGTCTCACTTGCCTCATCTTTAGAATACGAGCTACACTATAATAGTGCATACTACTCTGGGACCTTATGATGGAGATTTTTAAATATAGGTAATGCCTGGCACATAGGGAATGCTCAGTAAACATCCAACATTATTATTATTGTTATTACTCTTCTAACATGACTTATCATCATTCTTCCCTCAGTATTTGGTTCTCACAACTGACAGGAGCCAATTCTTTGTGCTTGTGTGTCTGTGTGCACACATTTGTGGGTGTATAAATTAACACACACACATAGACATATAGACGCACACATGGAATCCATTTCAAACTTCCCTGCCTCCACGCCTTTGCTCAGGCAACTCTCTGTCCCCGAAAGCTGAGGGCCAATGCTCTTCCCTGTTTCCTTATGTTCCTGTCCTAGGAAAGAATTTCTAGGAGAGATGGAGGGCTTCTCAACTCAACCTTGCTCTCCCTGCAGGGCTCACAAAAATGACAGTAAGGGGGTGGGCTTAGTTTTTATTATGAGTATTCTCTAGCTGAGGAACAGAGGAAGTTATAGGGATAGATGTTCTTCGTTCATGAGTGGAATGAGGGTTGTACAAAAGGTGAGCAATGCCTGATAATACTCTAGGTTGCCAATGTGTGGCCTCCAGACCAGCAATGTCAGAGCTAGAAACTTGTTAGAAATACAAATCTTGTCCCTCCCTTCAAACCCACTGAATCCAAAATTCTTGGGTGAGGCCTAATGAGCTGTGTTTTAATAAGCATCCCCCTCAGGTGATTCTGATGCCTGCCATGGTTGGAGAACCACTAGATTATAGTCTTAGGCCAAGGGAGCATCCCCACAACAGAAAATTGTAGGAGACAGAAGACATTAAGAAATAGAAGTACAAACATCAATGTCACCTTGAAGGGGCCAGCAGCTATTCCAGATAGGACAGGCAGACTAAATTTCCTGATTGCTCTTACCAACTGCTGTCTAGCCCTCTACCCCAACCTGGGCAATGCCTGTGGATAAGTTAGGTCTCTTCAGATTTGAGAATTAGGCCTGGGTATACTGACTTGATATATTTATGAAGTCTGCTTTCTTTTTCAGCAAAAGCCTCTTTTTTTTTTTTTTCCTGGGAATTCATGTCCTTTAAAAGTTCAAGAGGGTTTTCCTATTAACCTCAGCTCTGGATGCCCATGTATTCATCCCATACACTTCAATTTGTGGTTTATTCTTGGACAAATGTGGCAAGGCAGAAGATGGAGAGCGCCATTAACCCACAGGAAATAAATCAGGAGAGATAGCAGTCAAACACAAGTATGGGCTTCTATTTATGGATTCAACTTGGCATAAAGTTTAGTTTCTATCCTCAGAGAGACTCTTATAATACAAGGTTAATTATGGCACTCCTTGCTTTAGTGCTGCTCTTTCTGACTGCCCTGAGGATAAAGGCCCAAAGCCTTGATTCTGTTCACTCCTTAGCTCATTTCTGCACACTCCCTGCTGAGTCAAACTGGCCTTCTAGCTCCTTAATAGTTTATTCCCTCACCACTTCAAGTCTCACCTTTCTTGCCCTGCTATTGCAATCATTCTCTTCCCTGACTTTCATCTAGGCAAGCTCCTCCTGTTCACCCTTCCTCATTCAGCTTGTCACCATTTCTCCTGAGAGCCCTAAAACTTCATTCCCTTATGTACTCCCAAAGTTCATTCATTTCTTCTCTAAGCACATTGATCATGCCCCACTGCAGTTGATTGTTTTGTCCTGTAGAGCAGAAATTCCAAGAACACTGAGATATAACTTTTTTCTTTGTGGTACCTCCACCTAACACAGCAATGGGTCAAAGCAGACATCAATAAATATCTGAATGAATAAGAGAATGATAATATATTGAGCAAACATCTTCATTTCTCAATAGTTTATTTACCCTTCAGGAGGCAGCCATGCTTCAGCCACAGCTTTGGGCTGGGAAAAGCAAGACATGAACTGTAGAGGCTGTAAATGTGGTTTGCTTAAGAGAGATAAGCATATTTCCCCTTCATAAAAGTGACATTCCAGGGCCAAGGATGTAGCTCATTGGTGCCATGCCTGCGCACGCACAAGGTCCTGAGTTGATCCCCAGTACAAAAAAAAAAATAAGACATTTCCAACAGGAAATATACAAATATATATATATGCTTGACCTACATGGAAATGCTTAGAAAGATGCATAAGAAACTAACTACTGGAGAGTAGTTATTTCTTAGAGAGTGGGAAATATGCCCACTCTCCCTGAAGGGGAGAAAAACTTCTTTATATACTTTGGTACTCTTTTTAGCCCCTCCTAACCATCATGCATTCTTTGTGATATTGTGAATTGCCTTGAATTCATAAGCACAGAGAATAATGTAATGAACATCCACTTGATATACCTATTTGCTCCCTGATCTCATTCCTTTTTTTCCCTCTCCCCAAAGATAACTTTTTATTTGATTTTGATATTTATCATTCCCATGAAAGCCTCTCTCCCTCCAACACAAATAATATGTATTTTTCAAATTTCATATAAATGGTTTTGTATTATATGCATCTGAGCTATCATTTCACATCTTTATTTATTTTGTTTAACATTACATTTTTTATATTCATTCTTGTTGATATGCTCTAGGTCAGAGGTTCTGAACCTTGATTGCACACTAAAGTCACCTGGAAAGATTTTAAAAACTACTGATATGTGCCTTCCACCTTCAGAGATTCTGATGTAATGAGTGTATAGTCAAACTGAGAATTACTGTAAATTTGCCCTCATAGAAAAGATCATTGTGTGAGTACTTCCCAGCTCATGTACTGACTTTATAATTAATAAATTGTTCCCAATTTTTTGATATTTCAAGTTATTCTACAATGAATATTGTACTTGGCTCCTGTGCATGTTCCTAATCTACAGTATCTATGTATAAGTTTGAATAAATGGATCAAAGGTTATTCATCTTCAACTTTACCAGATATCACATTGCTTTCCAAACTAGTAGTTTATATCTTACTATTTCTCTTCCTTGCCAACACTTGGTATGATCACACTCTTTTGGTCAATTTTATGCACTTAAATAGTATTTTATTTTTAAAAACTGAACATTTGAGTTACTGCTTCTGTCTTGCCTATTTTTCTATTTTTTTTCTCTCCTTTCTCTCTCTCCTCTCTGACCCTACAGTGCCCAATTTGTGGACTTTGCAGTTGCCTTCACCCTGCCACACGATGTCCTTCAATCCAGAAACATCTGTGGAAATGATATTTGGAATGCCTTCCCCAAGTGATATGAGTACATCACAAGTTCCATAGGCCAAGCCAACTATGGATTGAATTAGTTTTTGGACTCCCATGAGCCTCAGGCAGCAAGATTATAGCTTTCAAAATCAGGGGAGTAGAGAAGCCCTATCATAATCCCTGGCTTCAAAAAACAAGACCTGATTTTCTGGAAGCATTTTCAAGCTTTGTTAACATCTTTGCATCAGCCCTACTCACTGCTAGTGTTTCTGTCCTGTTTCTAGTCCATAAGATAATTACCTCATTTTGGGGCCCTGATGTACATTTTTTGATAATTTAAGACAAAACCTTTTCCCTAAATTTCTTCCTTTCTTTTCTTTCTTTTTTCTTTTTACATTTAGAGGAAGGGGCCAAAGTAACCCAAACACAGATTAGATGGCAGAGAAAACTAGTTTTGGTTAACACTGCCAAATAATTCAATAAGCAACCAACCATAAAACATAACAAGAGTTGTCACTAGAATTTATGGCAACTTTCATATAAACACACTTAGAAGAACATAATTTACCTGTATGCTTTGTACTTTTGTCCCCTGAAAACTTTTTGGAAGCAACTGTTTCCAGAAACTTTCCTTTGAATAGTCAAAATATATAGCCATTGGTGTATTATTTTGTTGAACATTAAACCAGACCTATTAAAATATTAACATAAAACCAATGTAGGACTATAGGAATACAAGGTCCGTGATTAGGATAGAGCAAATGTTTACAGTTTTACTACTCAACAAAGTGGCAGAAGACAAGAGTTCTGAGGTAGAAGACAGATTCCAGGATTTTGGGATCAGAGGACTACCTCCATAAGTCTCAACCTTAGAAGCTCTATAGAATCACCTGGGGAAGCTTTAAGGATGAAGATTGCCTAACCCCCGTGCCCCAGGGATTCTGATTGAATACCTATGTCATCAAAGTTCCCCAGGTGATTCTCACATATAGTTAAGGTGTCTCTTGAGACAACTCAAAATAAGATTTCTCTCCATATACTTACATTCCTGTCATCAAACAAACAATCTATGCTTTGTAAGGGACAAAATGGATCAAACTGCTTGTGACATTGTCCAGTTGATGGATTCCAAAGCAAATATTCATTAGTTTCTTGAGTTAATACATAGGCAACATGACCCTGAAAGGAAAAAGATTGAAAGTCATTTTTGGTGGTTTTAACTTTCATATGTGGAAATTATAATGTAACGATTCTCATTTCTAAAATAAAATATTTTAAAAGGCTTCTAAAATTTTTTAAAAGGGGAAAAAACCTCTTAGAGCTCCAAAACTCCTCAGACCCAGGTTAGAGTAAGGATTCAAATGAAAGAATGCTGTGGGTTCATCCTGAAGGTAGTACAATACAGTGGACCCTTGACTTACAAACTCAATCAGTTCCCAAGGGCTGGTTGTAACTAAGTCAGTACATCTGAGATCTGGATGTTTACCTAGGTACACGCTATAGATAAGAGGCAGATGAATCTTCCGTTAACCTAATTAACCTAAGTTGTTTGTGTTTCAGGCCAGTTGTAATTTGAGGGTCCACTGTGTGCTATTCTGACTAAATAAATATAATGATGACTTTCCAACAGATACTATTAAAGTGTTCTGAGATAGAAGCACTTTTGTCTAATTTCCACAAAGGTGCTATACAGACTGTCTGCACTTTGGTTAGACTATACTTGAAGACTGAGGGTGAACACCAGGCTGAGTTAGGGACTAGAAAGTAGCTTTAGGCTCTGACAGAACCAATAAAGAAGTTAAAAAGCCACTAAATCAAATTTGAGAACAAGGTTTGGAGTTACAGGCTAAAGAGAAAGTAGACTGGAACGTAGTCAGACAGGAAACCAGTCTGAGAATAAAAAGTAATCTTGTCGGTATGTTGCCCTTAACATACCTTTTGCAGTGTAAGACTTTCTCAGCAAAGAATAAATATATCAAATTATAAATTTAACATTTATTGTGTATTTGTGTGTGCCAGGTACTATGCTAAAGAATTATACTAATTTTTCTTACTTTAATTCACTCCCAATTCTGCGAGGTACAGATAATTATTATGCCCACCTTTCATATAAAGAATCAGAGGTTAAAGGTCTCATCTAGGGTAATAGAAAGTGGCATTATTCCAATTCTGTGAGGAGATAACTGAGGCTCAGGGAAGCAAACACAATTGAGACCATACAGAGAGTAAGTGACATTGCTAGGTTTTAAACCTCTGTGCCCCAAATTCACATTCTTAACACTACTCTGTGTAGCCTTTGCCTCCTTAACTCCAAAGCTCTTGCTCTTTATCAATGCACTCACTGTCTCTATTATAGGGGAAACTGCGCTTCGGCCACACAGTTGAGTTGAATCCTTGCAAGGTGATTCCCACAGTATGGGTTCAGAGGAATAAAGCATATAAATACTATACTTGCTGAAAAATTGTTGGCTGTTTACTGCCACCTAGTGACACTTAAGACTACAACAGAGGATTATATCCAAGGATTAACCATAGGATTTAGTTAACAAAACTAACACAAAAATAAACTATGTCAAAGGAATGCAGGAAAGTAAGTTATCATGAAAAAAAACATAAGGCAAGATTGGAACACTGACACTAAACAAGATATTCATGGTGGAGCTAAAAATCCAAAGGGGAAGCTTTCTGGAGGTATGGATTTAGGAAAATATATAATATATAAAGTTGCAAAATTTTCAGATAGGTAGACACAAATTATCTTATGAAAAGATGAAAATGTGGGGTTGAAGTTTTTTAAACTCGTAGTTGAAATCTGATTTAGTTTTGCTCATACAATTCTAAAACTTACTTCTAATAATGAGGTTCCCAGGAGGACCAATGCCTTCTTTCCAAAATACAAAAAGAAATTACAGAGAAGTATGGCATGCTCTTCCTTATTTCCAATAGCTAAGCTGATGCAACGCTAAGGCAGAACAAAAGCAACAAGAACATCAAGAGAGGAAAAGAAGTTGAATAATGCAAATATCCAGAAACTTATAGCACTTATAGTCCTTCCAGTTTCAAACACATCTATCTTTACCAGGTTGCTAAGATGACAGCAAAGAGGAAAGGTCTAGCTTTGTTTGACAGTAAAAGAGAACGTTGACTTGAAATACTGGGATTGTCATTGTTACAGGACACTTAATGTGAATATAGCATAAAGTGATTAGAAAGTTTATACCCAAAATGGAATGTGTTTATTGAGAACAAAAATTAAATTACTCTTGATAACCAGGGACATAAGGACTAGTATTCTGAGAAACCTTATCTGAGAGGGAGTAGCTTAGTATTCTGAGAGAAAGTGATCCTTATTGGCCAATGGAACTACAGTATTTTGTCCTGTACATGTACCAACATAGTATTCAACTCGAAGAGAGGAAGAAGCCTGAGTTGGAGCCCAATCAGAAAGAATGACTGAAACTTCTTCAACTGAAAGAGCCAAGCAACTGGGTTGGGCGCAAGAGATCAAGGGCCTGGGATTTAGCTCAGTGGTTTTGCCGCCTGCTGCGCAAGCGCAAGAACCCAAGTTCAATCCCTGGTACCAAAAAAAAAAAAAGAGAGAGATCAAATACAGGGTGTCTAGTAAGGTTGTATAGCAGGAGAGAATAAAAGCAACAGAAATGGCAGACTGATGATCTACGACCTAATTTTTTTTTTTTTTTTGGTACCAGGGATCAAACTTGGGACCTTGTGCTTTTGAGGCAGTCCCTGGAACCACTGAGCTAAATCCCCAGCCCTCTGTGACCTAATCTTTGTTGACAAGTATATTTTGTTTGGCCTCTAGCATTTTTCTTATAAAAATGGAAATTTTCATATAAAACTCTGGATTTCTGGCTTCTGTTGAAAAAAAATTCCAACCATTTTAGCTCTAATTCAGACCCTCAAACACTAGATAAGTGTGAGTACTATCAGTTTCAAATGAAAGTTTTCCTTTGTTAGGCTCCCATCATATTTGTTTTCTAATTAAAAATAATTATTGAATGCTTACTAAATTTAAAGCAGTGTACAATTTGTTAATAGAAGAATATAAATAAGGACAAAATCTCCTACCTTCAAGGAGCTTACAATTGCAATATATGTGTACAGAATGTAGGTGTAGGGTCAATACATAAAGAACTAAATATAATCTAAAGTGAAATGGAAGAAGTGGTTGCCAAATTTAGAAAAAAAAATAGGATACCCAATTAAATTTGAATTTCATATAAATGTCAAACAGATTTTTAGTATAAAAATGCCCCCAATATTGTACAGGACTTATATTTTACTTGGCAACTAAAAGTAACTTTAATCCAATTTCTAAAGAAGAGCAGTGCTATAAAAGTTCTTCATTTAGGTGGAGGAGATTGAGGAAAGCTCTTGGGGAGTGGTAGTGTCTGCTTTAAACTTTGGAGCCTGATAAACTCTACATGACAGGCCATATCATTCTCTGTAATATGTCACAATAGTAAACTTCTGAATTTTTCATTGAATCAAAATATTCATGAGCTACCATTTAGAATGTTGAAAATATTTTTGGTCTTCATGAATTCTTTCCATAGATTGCAAAGCCAAAAATGATGTGTACAATTATCAAATACTTTTAAGTCTTACAGGGCAAGGTATTATGCCATACATAATATTTTTTTAAAGAAAAGAAAAGCTGGGCTGCGGATTTAGCTCAGTGGTTCCGGCGCCTGCCTCTCAAGCGCAAGGTCCTGAGTTCGATCCCCGGTACCAAAAAAAAAAAGAAAAACTGGGCTGGGAATTTAGCTCAGTGGTTCCGGCGCCTGCCTCAGAAGTGCAAGGTCCTGAGTTCGATCCCCGGTACCAAAAAAAAGAAAAAGAAAAGCAAGTAAGAAATGCCTTTTAACTATAATATATAATTTATTACCTCTGATGTCATCCATATGTCACAACCATCATTGTCATCCAGCGTATCAGGCATAAAAGGAATCAGAGATACGAATCGAGCAATGAGGTCCTACAATAATATTAATATTCATTGAGTATATACATCACTGAGCAGTATTTTACAATCATTATTCCATCTAGCATGTACTACAAGCTTATCAAGTAGACACTATTATTATTCTAGTTTTATAGAAGCAGCAGGAAGCTTAGAACAATAGAATAACTTGCACATGATCACATGGCTAAGGTAATATTTGGAATCTGTGAGGGCTAAGCCCACAGCTAGCTTTGCTCCAGAGGGTATACATTAACTGTTATATTTTCTATAATAAGTTATTAACTTTAAATATTATAACAATATTTATCAACATTAAACATGTACTTTAAAGTATGGCTGTTACAAAAATTTTTAAATGTGTTGAAGAATAGCAAAGGTTGGATTTGCTTTTAGGTTCAAAAACTGTCAATTCTTTCTCTTAATATAAACTTGTTACTAGCTGCTGCATTTAGAGATAGTGGTACAGCCTGCTTTCTCATACAATAGAAGTTTTACAAAGGAAATTCCCACTAAAGTGCTGGAGACAAGGACTCAGACTAAGGTAAGAAAGGAAAAAGGAATACAAACATACAAACAATAAAGTAACATTAAAGTTCATTAACAATTTAATTAATGTCCAATAGCTGCCATTTCTACATGTGTTTTTTTTTGTTTTGTTTTGTTTTTTGAGACAGTGTCTCACTGTGTAGGCCTCGCACTTATGGTAATCCCCCTGCCTCAGCCTCCCTGAGATTACAGGAATGTGCCACCATGCCCAGTTGATTTTTTTTTTTTGAGACAAAGTCTTGCTACATAGTCCAGGATGGTCTTGAACTATGTAGCCTAGGCTGACCTCAAACTCACAGCAATCCTCCTGCCTCAGCCTCCTGAGTGCTGGGATTACAACTTTGTACCACCACCATGCCTGGCTTTCATGATCTTTTATGCTGATGACTTAATGCAATTAATATATATAACTCACAATCCTTGACAAGCAAGGAGCTAGGATTTATTATTTTAAAGATAGAAGTCTGAGAACACTGTTATCTCCTGGGACATTGAGAAGAAACTCACAACTGAAAAGCAGAGTGTAGAAAAGGCAACATAAATCGGGACTTTTGATTTTAGTTTAAAGAGTCTAGCTAGGGGAGCTTTGTAACTCACAAATAATATAAATTGTCTGAGGGCAGTCAATTGAATAGATTAAATCTACATAAATGAAAGGTATAGTAATTCTTCATAGATGATCATCAATCAGAATGAACCTGTTAAGAATAATTGTAACTTACAAGTGTTGCGTTAGAATCATGAAGAAATACATCTAGAAGTTGTTGAGGTGGATTTAATGCCTTGATATATCTCGTTACTAATGTCTGTATCCCTTCATCATTAAAAACAGTAGTTATGATTCTTCGGTTGGGAAACATTGTTTTACAATTATTTTTAAAAACCTGTGCTCTCTCCAAAACATCTACTTGATCTGAAAACTAGAATCAAATTTAAAGTATTTCAATATTGTACCATATTATTCCCACAGGAAAATACCAAGAATCAATGTCTATTTTTGCCAGATTTAAAATTATTACTGATTTTTAAAATAGTTTATACTCTTCTGATGACATATCTAAAAGTAATTCGGTGTAAAAACCTACCTTGTCTAGTTTTGAATTATAGGTAACATACGGTATCTGTGGTTCAATGGTAGCAAAAATATTTATGAAGGTACATTCTCTTAAATTCTGTCCATTGTAATCTTCTTTTGGAGATAAATAATTCTTACTCCAAGTATATCCAAGCAAAACTGGTGGAATATTTACTTGAAATGTTCCACTAATCTGAAAGAATGTATCATGCATGAAGGGAAGGAGGAAGTGAATTACAATAATAACAACTAATGGTTAATTGAGCACTTACTATGTGCAAGGAACTGTGGCAAGTGCTTAACACAGATTGTATCATTCAATGGAATAAATACTGCCCTTATCTCCCTTTATCTCTGTGGCTCAGAGAGTTGAAGCAATTTGTGCAAGATCAAGGAAACAATGAGTAGTGGAGCCAGGATTACAATCCAGGTTTATCTGCCTTTGAAATCCATATTCTTTTTTTTTTCCATTTAAAATTTTATTGGTTCAGTTTAGATTTACATAATGATCACATTCAACATAGGAAATTTGTACCTTATGTGATGTATCTTGATTCCTTTTTCCCCTTTCTCCTGCACTCCCTTCAGCCCCTCTTCCCCTTCCTTATTGACAAAAGCTCTGTTTCCAGTTTTTTCTTCTTTTCTCATTTTTTCTTTTTCCTTCTTTCCTTTTCCTCCTCCCCTCTATTTCTCCCTTCCTTTTGAACAATTTTTTCTTACTTCACATTGTTTATTATATATTTTGGTCCCTATTTACATTTTCAGTCCCTTACACCAGAGAGACAGTTATATTTACATGTGAATCCAATTTATTTCACTTAAGAGTATAGCTTCAAAGTACATCCATTTAGCTATAAATGTCTCAAGTTTATCCTTCTTTATGGCTGAGTAGTACTTCCTTGTATAGAGAAATCACATCTTCTTTATCCATTCATTGGTTGATGGGCATTTGGGTTGTTTCCAAGATTTAGCTATTACAAACTGTGTTGCTATAAACATGGGTGCACTACTACATAATATACAGGCACTTCTACTTTCCTTTCCTACTTAATATTCATTCTCTCCTCCTTTCTTACCAACAGGGTTAGTTGATAACATGACAGCTGGATAGTGGCCATATCACATAAGTAAGATGCAAGAAGTCTGTCGGAGGTTTTTTCTTTTTTCTATCTTTCTTTTTTTGTTTTTGTTTATTTGTTTGTTTTTTGGATGAAACCTAGGGCCTTGAATTGAGCTACATTTCCAATATTTTCTGTGTTTTATTTTGAGACTACTGTTTTGGTCTTGCTAAGTTGCCCAAGGCGGGCTTGAACTTGAAATCCTCCAGCTTCAGCTGCCTGAGTGGCTGGGATTATAGTCGTGTCCAACTATGCCCAGCAGTCTGTTGAAGTTTTCTGAGGAACTATCTGTTTTTCTGATTTAAGCACTGCCAGTATTTGCTTAGCATTGCTACAGCACAGATATGACGCTGGAATTGCAGTGAGCATTTTGGAATTATGAGGATGAAAGCCACCTGTAAGGACAGTGGGACATAAACACAAAAGCAGCTTAGATTGGGCCGGGGATCTAGCTCCGCGGTTTCGCAGCCTGCTGCGCATGCGCAAGGACCCGAGTTTGATCCCCGACACACCCCCGCCCCCCCCAAAAAGAGCTTAGATTGTTGATGATGTCCTTGAACTGCTGGACTGGCATCTTAACTCTTTAGATAAGACAGATAAACCTTTTACCTACATCAGCCATGGCTAGTTAAGCTTTCTGTTGCACATGACCTAGTCCACATGATTCATTCCTTTTCACTCAAATGCCCTCATTTGTTTGAGAAATTCATCTCTAGGGGCTTGATTCAAAAGTTATCTCCTAAGTAAAATCTTCCCTGCTCTTGCATTTTCCTCCTCATTTTCTTGTTATCTTCCACCAAACTCTCTGAGTTCCCCCAATCTTCCTTTAGCCTAGTAAAGTGTACCTATGGTATGTTCTTACAGTACCTATCTCATGCCTCTGCTAAAGCATTTCACATTGTAGCAAAATGTTAGTTTTATTCCACATATAGTGAACTCATTGGGAGAGAAAATTCATTTCTGATTCTTCAAATCTTGAGTGGTTGGCATAGCCTCAGAGATGTCAGGTACCTTGCCTCAGGTCAATCAATAAATAGATAACAGAGCCTAAAATGGAGTTTAGGCTGGAGTTTTAATACTTTGCTGTTCATGTAGGCATATATATATATATATATATATATATATATATATATATAGTGTGTGTGTGTGTGTGTGTGGTACTGGGTATTGAATCCAGAGCCTTGCATGTGCTAGGCAAGCACTGCACTCTACCACTGAGCTACATCCTCAGCCTATGTAAGCATATTTTTACTACATAACCCAACAACAGGGATCTCTGAAGGTCTCACAGAGACCAATTCTAATCATCAGTCTCACTACTATCAATAAACAATGACGATACATTCAAGAGATGCAGATGAAAACAGCACTGAGATTCCACCTCACCCCAAAAAGAATGGCTGCTATCAAGAAATCAACAAATAAAAAATGCTGGCGGGGTTCTGGGGAGAAAGGAACCCTTCTCCATTGTTGGTGGGAGTGCAGACTGGTGCAACCACTGTGGAAGTCAGTATGGAGATACCTCAGAGAACTAGGACTAGAGGTCCCACTTGACCCAGCTATTCCCCTGCTGGGTATCTTCCCAAAAGAATTAAAAGAATCATACCACAGTGATATATGTGCACCCATGTTCATAGCGGCACAGTTTGTAAGAGCTAAAGTTTGGAAGCAGCCCAAGTGCCCATCAACTGGAAACTGGATAAAGAAAATGTGGTTTTTTAATAAAATGGAGTACTACTCAGCCATAAAGAATGAAAAACTAGAGTCATTCATAGCTGAATGGATGCACATCAAGGCCATCCTCTTAAGTGAAATAAATAGGACACATGTGTAAATAATGAATCATTTCACTACTGTGAGAAACTAATAGTGTAAACAAGGGTTAAAATGATTAAAGTGAAGAATTGATAATTTGAAATAGGAAAAAAGGTCCAAAGATGAAGGAGCAAAGGGAGGGGAAGAGGAAAGGAAAAGAGGAAAAGGAAAAACTATGAGGAAAGAAAAAAAAAAGGAAATGAAATCTATGTAAATAGGGAAGGGCAGAGGGGGTGGAGGATGCACAGGTAATGGGGGGGGAATAAGAACCAAGATATATCATGTACAGTTACAAACACCCAATGATAAATGTAAATGAACTGTATACCCAAAATGTACCGATAAAAGAATGAAAAAATAAATAAATAAATAAATAAACAACGATGATAAGCTGAAATTCCTGAGATTCATTATTAAAAAGCAACACCATTAATCAGAATGGTTCATGAATCTGGTTGACAAAACTCTTACATGCAAATATGAATGTTGCTTTAAGATGAAAGACTAGCCATTTTTTCTCTGTAAACACCCTAAAGATATAAGAAATTTGTGAGTGTCCTTGTTCTAGAGAGGTAAAAACCTTCAAACACTCCAAAGCCCTAGACCACTCTAATAAGGGATCATTTTTAACTAAATTTCCAAGCTGCCAAATATGGAATCTGATTCAAAGACAACAAAAAGTGTTTCTATTAGCCAGAAGTCAAAATTTAGAACCATTAATAGACAATCATTTTCTATTACCTCAGATTGTTGCAAAAGAGCAGAGAAAGGGAAAACAATGGAACCAAGCCAGTTCTTTCTTAGATATGAGTGACCACTACAGCTCTTTAGACAGCGATCCTATTAAAATAAATTAAAATTAAATGTATTAAAATACATTTTATATTATTTAATATCATATGAGTAGTAAAAGATGCAGTACACAATGTGTAATCACTAGTCATGTGAAGCTATTTAG